GGGCCAAATCATTATTTCAGCGTTGTAAAATAATGATCATGTATAGCAGAAGTTGTATAACCAGCAAGTCAGGTTGCAGGTTAATTGGATTGCGGGTCAATCGCCTTACGGTCAAACAGGTTACAGGTCATAAACTTTAAGTCAATTCATGTTGTGGGCCGGGTTGACTGGATGTCAGTTTAATAGTCAGTTTAAGTTTAGTTTTCGTGGTGAGTTTTTTACGTATTGATATACAACCCATAGTTGAAATTCTTTATATTTGTTTTTTTGCTCGATCAAGATTTCTCATCACTCTTGTTTTATGGATTCTCAACTCTTACCTAATATGACATTCCAGCTACGTAGGATATAAAAAATGAGACCACAAATGTATCGTTGCTAAATTGGTTAACCATTTTTGTAATAAAAAGAAGTCTCAATTGCACAAGTAATTAAAAAAGTTCAAGCTTCTCTTAAACTGTGCTATTAGTATTCGATCTCCTTGGACAAGGGTTATGAGTAAGCTATGAACATTTTTATGTATAGAAGATGTGCAAATAATTTACAACCGACATAACTCACGTTCATGTGTATAACTCAATCTCGTACTAATTCATTGTACGTATCAATTCTTCACCGTTTCACAATGTTTAAGGTCATATTAACTCTTACAGTATTATAAACACTCAATCATCAACGACACTTCAACCCTTTCATTTAACGTTTATTTCTTAACTTAGTGTTGGGGTCATAGAAAAATACCACAATCTCTAATACCACAATCTCTAACATAAAAACTCTCTAAGTTCCAAAGTAATCAAATCCCTAAAATGAAATATAATTTAAATACAGTCATTTTTGTGGACCAATTTTGAAATTAGTTAGACTAATTAAAAGTTTAAAACCACAATTTCTGTCTTTTTACAAGAGAAGGACAATAATTTTATATTAAATTAAAAGGGAAAAATAATTCAAGAGAATGAGAAAATTTTGAGTTTCGCTGACAATTTTTTCTTTTTATTAGTTCTAACAACTTCTCCTCCGTAATAATACGATATTTTTTATATAGTTTTTTCTCGTTTAGCGAGAGTCTCGATAGCCACCGTTTAGGGGTTTTGTAGGGTTTCACAGAGTTTGAGAGAGGAAGCCATTGATCGAGAGGGAAAGCTAGTCAGTTTTGATCAAAGCTACAACTACGATTTAGATGAGAGTGTTAAGCCTGGCAACAACCTTCTCCGTTGCGAGGTTGTGAGAGAGAGTTTCCCCAGCTAGCTAGGTCTGCTAGCTGTGGGGTTTCGTGAAAGAGGAAACCCTAATCACGGCTTCTGCTGATCAGGGTAAAGGAGTGATATGTTTTCTAGAGTTTTCTTGTTTAGAGATCGTTGTTTGAGGATACACACTTTTCAAGTAGTTGCGAATGGAAAGTATGTAAGAGAGTTATGTTGTTCAACTCATCATGCTTGTTCTTCACATTTCCTTCTTCAAGCTCGACATTCTTGCCATTCATGTCTTCGTTTTAGGGGGAGTGTTGCGGTTACTTAAACCGTGTTAGTATTGGGCCTTGTTGGGCCTTGTCCGAGTTGTAGTAGGTACAGATATTTGGCCGTACTCGACTCTCTTCTCATTAGGGTTTTCACCATAGTCTATCTCAATATAAGACTTAGCTAAGAACCTGTCGTAAGCAAGCCGTTACAATGTAAACTTAATAAAAGATCAGTCGTGAGCTCTTCAGAGCTCACCATGATTTAGTCATGTTCACTTCAAACAAGGATATTACGTAAAACTCTTTTTTCGTGTTTTTTTCCTTCCCTGTTATCGAATTCTTCAAAACACGCCAGTATAATTAACTCCTTCCACATGCTGGTCACCATTTCCTACTCGTCGAACCAATAAAGCTCGCAAGTGAACGTTAAACAGAAACTTGTAGCATAGTAAGAACCGCTCACAAATATATTATCTCTTAAAAAACGTTGAGTTTTTCCACAAAACAAAACAAAAACGCTACACTAGTGATAATCACCTCAGCTACCGCCGTACGACAATGGACTCCATAATTAATCCAAATCAACACCTATAAATTGGCTATGAAGACAGATTGTGTCTACCATCCAACAAAACAAAAGCGCAGAAGCATTAATAGGTCAGTAAAGTAGAAAATATCATAGCAATGGCTTTCCATTCCCACTCCGTATCTCACAAGGTAATTTTCTGGGCTTTGGTGATTGCTGTTGCTGCTGTTGCGATCACTCCATCGGCCGTTCTCGCCACGAAGATAACCGTTGGTGGAAACAAGGGCTGGACGAAAGGCTTCGATTACCAGGGTTGGGCACAGGGCAGGAAATTTCACGCCGGCGACAAGCTTTGTGAGTCATACCAACTACTAAATCCATTTTTTGATTCGTTTACTTCTCTCGACCCTTTGAGATAGCTATTGAAATGAATTTGATTTTTTTTTAATATAATTAGCTCACATAGTCACATTAACTGTTACGAGTCTTAATTACAGTTTTCAAGTACCCGAAGGGCGTACACAATGTGTATAAGGTGAACCAAAAGCAGTTCCAGAACTGCGACATCGCATCGGCCACGAAGAAGTACACTTCTGGAGGGGACACCATTACATTAAAGAGCGGAACAAGTTGGTTTATCTGTGGCGTAGGGGATCACTGCAGGGATGGTCAGAAGCTCGTTGTCAATGTCAAGTGAAGCTCAAATAATGTGTTGCTGATCAGTTAAACCATCCACAAGTCGTTTGGATGTCATTGCGGCCGGCGGGAAGATCGATCGTTTGCGTTAAAATTTGCTTGTGGTTTTGAAAGGAACAAAAAAAGAAGAAGAGTATCACAAGAAATTGCCATTATTAGGCAAATAATGAATAAGCTACAAAATTTGCGGTGTCGGGATTTTAATTTGTACTTTTATACTTTTACTAGCGATATGTGTGACGAGCCACCGAGGCATGTCATGTAGTTGTCTTCTCTTATACACAGGGGTGAAGCTAGGATTCCAAGTTCGTGGGTCCAAAATAATTTTTTAAAGAAAATCATAATATAAAATATAATTTATTATCTAAAATGGACATGATATTTTTATCAATAACATCACTTAAAATAACATCTAAACTAAAAGGGTCCGTTATATCGCATTTGTTACGAAACACATAATTGAAGAAATCTTGACTCGTAACCTCCTTGCGATAAAACTAATAAACTACGATAAAGCGCGGTAAATTGCGATAAACGAAAGATAATAAACTAGATTTGGGTTCCAATCTTCTTCATACCATTAAACGAATGAGAGATTACATAATTACAGGCACAGAATCCTCTCTTTCTTCCTTACGATTTCGGTCCACTCTTTCCTATCCCTACCCATAGTATGTAACCTTCTCCTAATACTAGGGCTGGCTATTTGGTCCGGGTTTTTTGGTTTTACTCGAACCTGGACCGTATAACCCGGACCGAGACCGGACCGGGATCGTATAGTAAACAATCCAATCCAATCTTTGGGCTTAGATTTGAGGTAAAAAACCGTTCGGATGTTTTGAGGTTATGCTCTTGTATGATACTCTTGGGATTTCCATATCCCCACTTATTTTGACAGAAGATTAGGATGTTTTGCATCTATTTATATATAAAAAAGGGCTAAATTACACGTTTGGTCACTCAAATTATACAAATCTTTCACATTTGCCACCCAAATTACTTTTCTTTGTTATTTGCCACTAACTTTACGAATCGTTTCACCGTTAGTCACCGGCCGTTACACTCCGTTAAATTTGTCCTACGTGGCAGTCAACTATAAAGGTTGACCGTTAACTAGATGACGTGGAAATTAAAAAAATTAAAAAAATTCCACCTCATCATTTCACTTATATTTATCATATTATTATTTAATAAAAATTAAAAATTACCAAAATTAATTATTATCTGGAGAAATAAATTGCAGAGACCTCGTTGAGTTAGCCCCTATTACTCTTCTGCATCTTCGCTTCGTCGGAATCCCCCCTTTTCACAACCTAGATGAAGCTATCCTCCGACGCCTCCAGAGCACCAGCAATCTCACACAGCTGAGCATTCGAAATGGCGGATATGCTCCCAAAGCACATGGACAAAATTGAATCGGGTCCATGGTCATGTTCATCGATGGCGGCGACAGTGGAAAGCTATTCACCACGGCACCAAAGCTGTTGACCTCCAATTCCTCCATCTGCTCTCGCAGTTCTCTAATCCCGATATCAGATTCATCGCCTTTCAGAAAAGGCTGGAGCTGTATCTTGGTCAATTGAATTTCGTGCAGAAAGCCATGAAGAAGAAAGGGTTTGGAATCGGAATCCGATTTCACTCCTTTGTAAGGCTCATGGAGTTTGAGGTATGAAGTGAAGATACGGCGAACGACCGTTTTTCGTTGAAGAAGAGCCCAGAATGCAGAGTTTGCCGGCGGTTTCTGTACCCCAACAAAGACCATGTGTTGGCGACGAAGCAATCGCCGCCACAGTCGGAAGAGATCGTCGAAGGGTCGCTGCAAGATGGCCATGGACTTGAAGAACAGGATCATGAGGTCAGGGGACTTGATGGCATTCTCGCAACCTTCCGGCAGCCTCGGCACAGTGGAATTCTATGGTTTTGAAGACCCAATTAAGCTGCAGCCTCACCATGTCTGTCATTGGGATCATGTGGGCTTGATCCATCAAAGGGAGGAAGACCACGTGAAGGCCTCGGTTGATAATTAATTTTTGCAATTTAATTAATTTTTATTAAATAATTAATATGATAAATTATATAGATAAAGTAAGTGGAATGATGAGGTGGAAAAATATAATTTTTTAATTTCCACGTCATCTAGTTAACGGTCAACCTTTATAGTTGACTGCCACGTAGGACAAATTTAACGGAGTGTAACGGTCGGTGACTAAAGGTGAAACGATTCGTAAAGTTAGTGGCAAATAAGAAAGAAAAGTAATTTGAGTGACAAATGTGAAAGATTTGTATAATTTGAGTGACCAAACGTGTAATTTAGCCATAAAAAAAATGTGACAAATAAGTCCCGACTCCCGATCATTACAAGTTTACAACAATATTGACGCAAACACTCTTCTCTCTTCTCTTTCGTTCTTCAATCTTCTCCCTCGCAGATCCGCCCGCCCCACCAGCCGCTAATCGCCAATTCTCTTCGTCTTCAAAACCCCTTTGCTCTTCGCAAAGCCTCCGCACAACCCAAGCGCCAGACGCTCTGAACGACAAATCAGTGAAGCCTTGGGGGCGGCCGCCCCTCTAGCTGCAACCTGCAGTTCTTCTTACTAATATATGAGCACTCTTCTCTTCCGTTCAACTGCCAGGTAGGCAAAATTCCAAAATTCCAGTTCTTCAGCTGATTCAGGACCGTCGGAGGATGACTAAATTCTCCTCCTTAATGGTGGTGGAACAGCTGGTAGAAGCTAGAAATGCTCGGATTCATTTATGACTTCAATTTCAACTAGGGATTTGATCATGTGCTTGACTGCTACAATCTTTTCCAGTTTGTGTATTTGCGATCAGTGAGATAAATCAAAATTCGTGAGGACCCTCTTAGCTTACTGTAGTCTTACGCCATGGCTGTCCAACAAGAGGCGGCGCAGGAGTACGTGCCGCAGCCGAAGAAGAAAGAACCTTCTGAGCTGGAGAAGAGGTCTCTCTATTCTGTTTTATTTTGTCTGAGTAGCTCAGCTTCGAGTTCTATGTTCAGGAATTCAGTCTTTGCGTTTTACTGGAATTTGATTGCTGTTTTCATACCTTGTGGTGATTAGGAGAAAGAAAATTGAACCTGGAAGCTTAAAGAAAGCTGAAATGAGGCCAGGAGGTGGCGATGCTAGACCATCCGATGGTGACCAGGTTACTTCCATTTTTGTATCTTGTTACGTTTTCCAAATGGCTGCTTAAGTTGCTCGCTGATCGTGGTTGATATTGGTTTGGCATCATAATTCACTTTACAGGTCTTATATCACTGCACAGTTAGAACGTTGAATGGAGTAGTTGTGGAGTCTACTAGATCTGATAATGGGGGTAAGCTTTTTCTTCTACGCTGTGATCGTTGTCGCGTTGGCATTTTAAAGGCAGCACCGAGATTGTTTACTCCTGCGTTTTGATCTTGACCTGGAACTTTATTATTTTCATGATTTTGGATGTTGCTTAATCTACGTGTCATTTACATGGTAGGTAAAGGCATTCCACTGCGACATGTTTTGGGTAAAAGCAAGATGCTGTTAGGAGTCGTTGAGGGACTTACCACAATGTTGAAGGGTGAAGTGGCAATGGTATTGACTTCTGCAGTTGGCAATGTGATATTCTGTTGCAGTTTATTTCTATGCTTCTTCCGCATTTGCGTTTACGAAGGCCGATACTCCCGAGGATTGGCTGAAATGATTTGGTTTCCAAAAACGACATATTTCTTCTTGTTCCCCTTTCTTGCTGTTCCCTTGATCGAACGCCAGATGTTAGAGAGCTTTGTACGAACCAGAAGTCCATCTTTGTTCTTCATTGCTGGTATGTTGATTATTAGGTGTATCATCTTATGAGCTGTTCAATCTATTTTTTCAGTTTAAAATGAAGCCATCAATGCATTATGGTGAGGCTGATTGTCCAATCTCGCCACCAAGTGGATTTCCAAAGGAAGATGAACTTCATTTTGAGATTGAAATGATAGAATTCTCAAAAGTGAAGGTAATAACTTTGGATTCCTTTTCATATCTATTTTGTAAAACTTGGTTCACAGGGTTTAGTTGCTGTGTTGCATGGATTTTTTTAATTGTTGAAATGATTTATCAAAGTTTAAATAGGTTCGATACATTCTTGTGTTGTCATAGACATAGTTGTTGAAATTATACACATTCAGCATCAGAAAGTTATTTCTTTGTTTTAATTAATATGATCATTGTCAAGAGGCAGGGTACAAGTTCTTATCAAGCACCTTGTTTTCCTCCAATTCATTAAAGTTCTATCCTAAAACATGTGTGTTGCTTTTCAGGTAGTCAATGAAGATTTGGGGGTTATAAAGAAGGTAAGCAATGTTAGAATTACTCATCGCTTGATTTGGAATGAGTAGATCTGGAATAATATTCTAACCTGAGAGGAAGGTTGATTGCCAGTTTTCACCAGAAGCACCTTCTTTTCCTACACATGGTGGAATTTTTGCAAGATGTTCATCCTAGTCTGTTGTTCGAGTTGGTCCTGTACTTCTTAATCTTCCTGGTACACATAGTTCTGAAAACATTCTCTCTATGCCCATTGTTTGTAATGATAGGTGATTGCTGATGGCCAAGGCTGGGAAACTCCTAGGGAACCATATGAAGTACAAGCCAGGTATTCCACTCTTCTTTATGGTTACTTCTTCTACAATTTGAGGTTTCTGATGAACCTAATAATGCCCATAATGTTAACAAAACATGTATTGTTATAGGATTTCAGCTAAAACTGGTGACGGGAAAGTTATTCTTTCCCACGCACAAGGAGATCCATATTTCTTTACTTTCGGGAAATCTGAGGTTGGTCAACATTGTTTGTTTGTAGTATTCATGCGCATGTTTTGTCTGTATTTGCTTTTATACCTCATGGACCTTAGCAATATTTTTAATTTCAAAGAAAAATCTACTGTTCTCTATTCTCCTCACTATCCCCCCCTCTATAAATAGATATAACTGAAATCAGCTTTTCAACAGAATTGAATTTTCATTTCTTTAGTCGATGATTTTATACTTCATTGGACTTTTGGAAACAGCTTGATCTTGTAACAACTATGCTAGGTGCCTAAAGGTCTTGAGATGGGAATGGGAACAATGGCACGGGAAGAAAAGGCTATAATATATGTTACTGGCCAATACTTAACTCAGTCACCCCTCCTCTCTACAATAGAAGGTTTGGATGAAGTTCAATTTGAAGTGGAGCTTGTTCATTTTGTTCAGGTCTGTATCATTTATCTGTTTTTGCAAATGATTTCTTTTCTCTCTCTGTTCACTCAGGTTAATCTGAGCTTTCTTTTGTCTTGATCTCCTTTAAGGTTGAGGCATAGTAATTTAGTGCCATTCTGTTCTTGCAATTTTTGTCATGACCGTAAATAATTTGCTCGTCCATCTTTCTTAGCTTATTTGCATACTAAGTTCCTCATTCCTCTATTTAAGTACAGTCAACTGTATTCTAATTGCTTGACTTGTTGCTTTTGGCACAACCTCATGACTTGTTGCTTTTGGCACAACCTCATGACTTGTTGCTTTATCCTAATTGGTTGGCCAGTGGGGTTGATCCCTGATGAAGGTCAAAGGTGGTGCTAATTGCTTGATGTATTCCCATTTAAATGGCTCATGCATGGCTTTAGTTAGATTCAGGTCATCTGCACAAGTTGCAATACTCGTAATAGATAAGCAGGAACTTGCTTAGTTGCCATTTGAATATTGTTGAATTTCTATCGCAAATGTATCTTTTCATACATTCTGAAGCTTGAAAAAAGTTCAGTTTGCTTATTGAAGCTAGCTGTTAAGTTTAGTTGCACTCTGGCTGGACAGGTGAGAGACATGCTTGGAGATGGGCGTCTAATAAAACGCAGACTTCGTGATGGGAAGGGTATGTATAGAATTTGTTACAAGCTCTCGATTGAGCGCATATGCTTTTTTATGGGTTTCTCCTTCGCCTTTGGATTTTAACTAGCATTTCTCTATGGTTTTACAATTTCCAGTTTTTGTAATTTCACAATGCATGTCTCGGTTGTGTGGTACATTAGGTGAGTTTCCCATGGATTGCCCTCTTCATGACAGTCTCCTGCGGGTCCACTACAAGGCCATGCTTCTAAATGATGAAAAGACTGTCTTCTACGATACAAGAGTCGATAATGATGGGCAGCCTTTAGAGTTCAGTTCTGGCGAAGGACTGGTAAGTTCTCAGTCTAGTGTAAATGACATAGCTAATAGCGTGAACATATCTAAACATCTCTGCCACAGCTGTCACATTGTGATTGACGACTTATTAGCTGTTTTGACAACATGGATCCTGCTCATCTGCAAACTTATATTCTTGGATGTTCCATTCTGATTTCCACATCCTTCGCTTTGCTGCCTGTTGCTGCAGGTTCCTGAAGGATTTGAAATGTCTGTCCGTCTGATGCTTCCAGGAGAGTTGGCTTTGGTAACATGTCCTCCTGATTATGCATATGACAGATTTCCAAGGTTTCTTTAGATTCTAATGCTTACTGAAACAAGAGCCCCCACACTTTTGTTTATTCAATTGTAACTTTATAACTTATGTTTTTCTTCTTCTTCTTGTAGACTTGTAGTGTTCTAGTTAATTGAACTACTTATTAACCTTCTGTACGTGTGGTTAGGCCAGCCAATGTTCCCGAAGGTGCTCATGTCCAATGGGAAATTGAGCTTCTTGGTTTTGAAATGCCAAAGGTGACGAACTGGTTTCTTATCTCCTTGTGCTTTTGTGGGCTCTCTATTTCTGTTATTAGTTATTGCTGTTAAATTGGGATCTTTACCTCCCAGAATCCAGGTTGAGGATGCCTATTAATTCATTTGTCAATGCAGCTTTGAGGTTTATATATAGTTTTTCCCCTTCCACTCATAAAACTGTGTTCGATTTGCAGGACTGGGCTGGCATGGATTTTCAGAGTATAATGGATGATGCTGGAAAGATCAGAAGCACCGTAAGTTTTCGAGTAGAAGACTGTTCATAGTGGCTCATATTGTTCCTTTACATGTGAGATCAAGAGCAGATCAGGGATAAACTCATGTGGATGTATAAAATATCATATTAATTGTTACTTTTTTTTCCAGGGAAACAGGTTGTTCAAAGAAGGAAAGTTCGAACTAGCCAAAGCCAAGTACGAGAAGGTATGGTTTTTAACCTTATTGTTACACTTTTATTTTTTTGTTCTTTCACTTATAGAATGTAGCCCTTTTGAACAGGTACTGAGGGAGTTTAACCATGTCAATCCACAAGATGACGAGGAAGGGAAGGTTTTCCTGAACACGCGGGTAAGTCTTTCCTCTGCCGTTGTAACCCAGAGAGAACTGCTTGCAACTTTATTTTCAACCATTCATGCTAACATCATTTCCTTTCCAATTCTAGAATTTGTTACACCTTAATGTGGCCGCTTGCTACCTGAAAATGAAGGAATGCAGAAAATCCATCGAGGCATGCAACAAGGTAAGGTTTCCATTTGAAGAAACATGTTTCAGTCGTAGTCGGTCCAAAGTTCCAGATTCCTGAGGTTGGAGTGAAACAGGTTCTGGATGCCAGTCCTGCACATGCAAAGGCTCTATACCGCCGCGGAATGGCATACATGGAAGCTGGCGATTTTGATGAAGCAAAGAACGACTTTGAAATGGTAACCATTTACTACTCTACTTACCATCTCTTGTCCAAGATTTCTAAATTCTCAAACTTGGATTTCCTCAAATCCATTTCGCAACGTGCTATCAGATGGCAAAAGCTGACAAGTCGTCCGAGCCTGATTCAAAAGCTGCTCTTCAGAAACTAAAGCAAACAAAGCAGGTATGTGCGGTGATCAGAAAGAAAAGATCGAAAGAAGCGGGGAATTCCTAGATTCTGAAATTCGTAATTTGATTGACAGGAAGTTGAGCGAAGAGCACGGAAACAATTCGGAGGGCTCTTTGATAAGAAGCCCGGAGAGATAGCAGAGGTTGGACCAGAAGATGAAGCAAATGAGAAAGAGGAGGAGAGCACATCCAAAGAACAGCACAAGGACGACGAGATCGAGGAAGAGCCATTGCTGGAAGATGCAGTGGAGGGACCAAGACCTGGCCTGTTGCATCGCTTGTGGCCGACTGGGGGAAGGCTATTCTCGGCTTTGGGGCTCCAACGCTGTACCATCTTGTGAAACCTCGGCAGAGAGGTCACTTTTTAAAATCGCTCCCACATTGCTGGTTAGACCAACTCCAATGCAAGACCCCAAATTTGGGGACCTTCATCCCCAAATTTGGGGATTGCCCCCATTTTTCACAAATTGGCTCCAATGCTACCAACCTCAAATTTGGGGATCTCTATTTTATCCATGTTTACATTTACTTAAAAATGCACTTATCGAAGTCTTAATATAATTCGTTAATCTTAATTTTTGTATAGTTCGTCATTATTTTAAGATACAAATTTTGCGATAGAATTTTTCCAAATTTCGACACCGAATTTTTTTGGCGAAAAAATTATGGACCTTTGGTTTACACACAACACTTGAAAATTATAAAGCTAAAGGAGTTCACATAATAATTTAAATGATACAACTTAGAGATTACACGCAACACTTGCTAATGATAAAGCTTAAAAATAACACACAACACTTGAAATGATAAAGATGAAACACATAACATGTCAATAATCGCCCAAAATGGAACAGTAATTCCCGTAATCTCCTCCTCCACCTTCATCTCCTCCTCCACTCTCATCTCCTCCTCCGGTCTGACTTGCGTTGGATGAATAGTTGGGAACAGAGTTGGGATCATCTTGATCATATCCTAGAATCCGGTTTTGCTGAATTTTGTAATACCTCCTCTTTCTTGGTGTCAACTTCGACAAGTCATTTTCAAGAAGATCAAGGTTGTCCCGAAATAGTGTTGTTTCCCTCTCTTTTTTCTCAACTTCCCACTTTTCTTGGTCGCGCTTTGATTTTTTTTCTTGGAATTCCATCCTTTTTCGCTCATACTCAGTCCTCGAAGCATGTCTCTCCTTCATCTCACTTCCATACTCCAGCAATTGAGCAGTGTAGCTCTCTGATGACTCAGCAACCCCCTTTCCTTTCTTCTTAGCCGCCTTCTGTTTGTCGCGTCCAGTAGGGCGAGATATGACGAAGGGTGGAGTCTCTTCGACGAAGGGTGGAGTTTCCCCGACGAAGGGGGGAGTTTCTTCGTCTCCTTCTGTGTCATTGAGGTCTGTCTGTGGTGTTGATTGATAACCTTGACTCATGGGAGAACCATCAGTACCTTGACTCATGCGGTTTTGATGTGAAGACGGCATTGCTATAATAGTATGGAATTTTTGGCATTGAAGTCTGTCTGTGGTGTTGATTGATAACCTCTCCCGCGCGCGTGCGCCGCACCGCCCGTCCCTGGCGGTTGTCCCGCCCCAGCCCAATCCCCTCCCCCATCAGCCCCCATAATTGCAGACTCCCCCATTTCCTCCTCTATATTTGGAGACCCAAATGGAGGTCACCCCCATTAATGGGGTTTATTCCTTTTTTGCAGGTTGCATTGGAGAGCTTCCTCCTCCATTTATAATGAAGGATCCCCCAAATATGGGGGCAGCATTGGAGTCAGCCTTATGCAGAGAGGTCACTTGCTCACTTTTGAACTAGTAACTTTATACATGATAATAATTTGTCTCTTCTATCTACACCTATTATTAAAGTCAAATTAGGGGAAAAATTCCCCATTTCAAATTTCCAGCCTGAAAGAGAGAGAAATATGGAAGCCTCGTTTCGTAAGAGGATATTTACATGGTTGAAACTTTGAAAGTATTATTTGGCCCGAACAAAATTTCGTTGACCTTGTTTCTGGCGTTTTTCCTATGGGTTTACAGCTCCAACAGCCTCCCCTCATGAAAACAACATTCGTGCTCTGTGTGTCATCTTGTCGTAGTGCACCAGTTCGTAAAATTGGGTTCAATAAGTTGTCTTTGGATTGGAGAGGAAACATTGTTTTCGAAGGGAGGAGATGGATGGTGGTCTGGAGAACAAGATGAAGGATAGACGACGGAGGGGACTTTGACATACACGATTCTCTTAAAGTTTAACCCATCCTTTTTGTACATGTGTCTAGAATTTTGGAATTGGCTATTAAAAATTTTGGGCACGATACTTTAAATTATTGATTCTTTAGCTTTTATTTTATAGTACAATTTGAAGTTGTACTTTTAATGTTGGATTTTTTTAGATCTATCATCATTAAAAAAATTACAAAAATACCACTGTTTTCGAAAAATTTTCAAAACTAACACCATTTTTTAAAACCACACACTGAATGCGCGGTTTACTGAAGAAATACGTGGGGAAGATGTGGTCAAGGCTAGGGCAGCCAACAAACCGTCTAGGGAAGCGACATTCCGCAGAACAGTTGGATTAGGAAGCGATCCAAGGGTGGACCGTGCGTAGGGATGGCAATGGGTCGGGTCGGGCGCGGATAGTGCATATCCGTCACCCTACCCATAGTAGTACGAGTTTTACCCATACCCATACCCACATGTGAAACGGGTAGAAAATCAAAACCATGCCCATACCCATTCGGGTTTCGGGTATCCACGGTTATCCATGGGTAATAATTTCTCTTCATAACTCCAACCAATATGTTAACATTCACACGAATTCTCACATTACGTAAGAGGCTGGTTCGGGTTGGTTCGGGTTGGATAGTGAGAAACTCATGCCCACCCATTACCCGCAATATTCGGGTTCGGGTTTTACCCTACCCGATTAGGCCGGATTCGGGCGGATATCCACGGTTACGGATATTTTTGCCATCCCTAACCGTGCGCCAAGCGATCCGTGTCAGGGATCGAGAACCGTAGGCGGGGTGGTTTCTGGCTGAAAAAATGCAAACTGTGGCTAGAGGAGGCGGTTTTTGTGTTTGCAAATTTACAAAACCGCCCCCAGCAGGCGGTCCGAATCTTATATAAACCCCCTCCCCCTCCTTCTTTCTTCACACCAAAACCCATTCTCCTCTCTCTCTCTAAGATTATCTCCCTATCCATCCCCCTCTCCACCAAAAAAACTAGTAAATAGTGGTATGTTGGTTGCGGCTAAATCCGAACTGCCATAAGAAAACATTTCTTTGGTTTTTCCTTCAAAACCCGTCGAATCTCTGTTCGGCTACTAGCAAAAATGGTTGATATTTTCGAAAAATCGCTCCTTCAACAGACGATTTTTTCTAGGTCAGCCACTAAACCGCCTCCCCATGTGGTGGTTTTCAAAGAATGGTGGTAGTTTTGGAATTTTTCCGGGTTGGGTGGTATTTTTGTAATTTTTATTTAAACAGTGGTAGATCTGGAAAAAAATCCTTTAACGTTATGGTACAACTTTGGGTTGTACCTATACTATTTTGTAAAATCCATTTATGGTACAAACTAAAATTGTACATTTATATTATTGTACAAGAGTGTAGGAAACCACGTCGTCCCCAACAACTATGAGACGATATTTCTCATTTCCGGAGACGACTTTCGTCGTCCCTAAAGCTCCTCTTTTTTGTAGTGGAGTTAGAGAGGGGTGACTTTTGGACACTCTTGGAGAATAAACAAAGACTACTAGCGTGCAATAGGGTGAATTGGAATGTTTGGAATTGCCAATTTGGTTGATTTTGAATCTTGGGACTTTCACCCTTAGCCGAAGCCCTTTTTTTTTGTCCTAGTAAGCGGTTATCGATTTTCTTATCGGTTAATCATTAAGCAAAAATAGCTAGTCAAAATCAAACCACTAAAAAATTACTAATTATCAGTTCACCACTAATCGTCATTAATTGTAAGGTTATCGATTAAAATTATTATTGTTTAACCCAATTCGAAAGGTGACGATCCGACACCCCCCTAAAATAGGTATACCATGATGGGTAAAATTTATATATACCAATACCATGTTGGTACCAACTAAACCACTATTTTGAATAAAGTTGTGGTATTATCATGACCAAAGCGAACCTCAGCTTCGGAGAAACTTCCGTCGTTATAAATACCGGGGGGGGGGGGGGGGGGGGGTGGTAAAAAAAACAAGTGCAACATTGATAGAATTAAATTAGTGCGCATAGAGAACTTCGGCGATTGAATATGCGGATCACAATTCACAAGTTGTAGTCACCAACATCAACACATACATGATGTATTACCTCACAGCTAGCTGTATTGGGTTTCAAATTGTTATCGACACAACAAGAGAATTGGCTACGATCATGCCATTCAACTTCCACAATAAGCAACGACAAGTTCCTTGGAATTGTAGCCATTCCCTTTCTTCGTCTTTTCTACAATATACAAAAATGGAATATATATAAGCAAGTTAAGGTCAATTTCCCTACGTTAATCCTGAACAAGGCAAGGGCTATATAAATAAAACCAACAAGCGCATTCCTCCGCAAAATCAAGTTACTTTATTCCCTCCAATGGCGGCGGCGGCGGCTAATCGGTGTACCACGCTTGCCGCTTTGGCAACAGTGATCATGATTATACCCGCCGTTGCCATGGCCGCCCAACACATCGTCGGCGACACTCAAGGGTGGAACGTCAGTGTCGACTTCAAGAAATGGGCTGGGGACAGAGAGTTCTACGTCGGAGACATCCTAGGTACGTACGTAGTATAATTTGAATTTTATTGTGGGTCCGTAGAATTAAATTAATTACCAGTAGTAATGGTACTTAGTTGTCTTAAATTCACGAACTTATTTTTTTTGTCCATGGATGGATTTGTATTAGTGTTCAACGGAATGCGTTAGGGTGGAAACTGAATTTCTAGTAGCCACCGTGGCTACAACAGTATCCACCATCTATTTTCTTCTCTTTCCTCTTTTTTTAATCTTACGGTTAAGATTACTTTAGGATAATTTTGGAAGAAAAAAAAGTACCACACTGGATTATTCTATATATTCTATCCTAACCCTACTTTTCCCTAACCCTACTTCGCCCTCGTCTCCGCCGTCTGAGGCGGCTTCTTCTGCCTCCAAAATAGAGCACCGTCCCTTCTCTTTCAAACTTTGCCGATGGACGGAAACCATGCCTTCCGATCACCCACTCACTCCGGCCGCCTTTAAACGCCACTCCTCAAAGCTATGAAATTTCCATACTCTGGCGAATATGAACTGTCCCAACACTGTTGGCGCAGTTGCAAGCCGATATGCTTTCCTTCTCCAGCAGCTCTGCTCTCCTCGCCAAATCCCGCTCTCTGCCTACCTCGCTCGGACCGTCCATGCCCACGCAGTGGCTTCCAGATTCCACCCTAATCCGCCACGCCATCAAATCTGCTTCCTTTCTCTTCTCCGCAGACTTCCACCCAAAGGCCAAAACCCAGCTTCAAGCTTGAAACTCCATCTTCTCCGCAGACGGCATTCATAGCTCCGGCTGCCGCCGGTTCTGGAATGGTAGTGTTATGTTTGGAATGGTAGTTTTTTTGCTGTTTGGAATTGTAGTGTTATGTTGGAATGGTATTCTTTTTTGCTGTTTTCTTTCATGCATTGGTAGTTTTCTGCATACATGTGAAACCGTGCTTTTTGATGTGATTGGTATTGTTCTGTTCGAATGGTAGTTTTTTAGTTTTTTTGAATGGTAGTTTCCTTTCATGCATTGGTAGTTTTCTCCATACATGTGAATCTGGTAGTTTGATTTGGATTGGTAGTCTTCATTTGGATTGGTAGTTTGATGTGGACTGATGTTTTGTGAAATGGTAGTGTTTTTATTTCTTGAATGGTAGTTTTCGTGTAATGGTATAGATTTATTTCTGTAATGGTATTGATATTTTTCAAAGTGGTAGTGTTTGTCTAATGGATTGATACTGATTTTGTTTTTTTTTTTTTTTGCAGAAAGATTGAGAAAAATATGGAAAGAAAATCTGGATGGAGATTACGGAAGTGAGAGGAAGAGAGAATTTTAATTAATAGATTTTTGTAACTACCTTAAATGTAATTTATTAAAAAATTAATTAATATAATTTATTTTTCCATACCCAATTTACCCTTAGTAACCACGGTGATTACTACAAAGTAGTAATCACCGTAACCTGTCCCGTGTTCAACTACAACAAATCGCACGACAGCGTGATCCAAGTAAGGAGCGGGCCGGACTTCCAGGCCTGCGTTCCGCTGGGCGACATTCTGGACAGCGGGAACGACAAGGTGGGCCTGGACACCGCCGGCAAATGGTGGTTCATTAGCGGAGTCGCCGCCCACTGTGCCGATTCCCAGCAGAAGCTCGTCGTCGACGTGGAAGGTGCTGCAGCGCCGGGTTCCGGTTCGACCACTCCTGTCTCCGACCCCAACACCAACGCTGCTGCATATAGTGTAGCAGCCGGCGGTTTTGTTGCTGCTGCTGCAGCAGCTTCGGTTGCCTTGGCCATTGTTATGGCTTTTTAAAGTTGGCGTGATAAGCTGCGTGGTAATTTGTTCATCTTCTTTTTTTTTTTCCCCCTCCATGGCCATGGGTCGATTTGCAACGAATAAGAAAATCAAGGACTATTTGGGCTTTGGTATTACCAATCTGCGACGCACGCAAAGGTTGTAGATTTTTTCAATAAAAACGCTTACTTGGTATTGTCGATCACAACTTCTTGTATCGTTTTGTGTAAAGTTTAGTGAAGACGGAAGTAGAGAAGACAATGATTTACGTGGTTTCCCCGAATATCGGGACTAGTCCACGGTAGGGATGTCAATCCAACCCGTAACCATGGGTACCCTACCCGACCGTAACCGGTCAACGAGGGTAATTACCCGCTTTGACGGGTTAAGGGGCGGGTACGGGTAATACCCGGTTTCAAAATAAAGGGTAGGGTACGGGTATGGTAATCGATAATACCCGCCCCGTTATACCCGCCCCGCTAACCAAAGGGTCAATTTCCCTTGGGAAATTTAGATTAGCTTGAGAAATTGAGTTTAGCTACCATTATTGATGATGAAGATGTAGACGATTATTATGTTTGTGTGGATTGTAGAAGCAAAACAATTATTATGTGTTTGCTATTTTTATTTGTGTGGATTGTTGAAGCTAGAACAGTTACAAGTATTGAGAATTTTTAATGGACAACACAACGGTATGTACGTGCATATATGTGTATAAGTTCATAGTTTAGGATTCGTACCCATGGTTACCCGAATGCCCGTGGTTACCCGGTGGGTAGGGTATGGTTATATAATTTTCATACCCGGTGGTTATTTGGTCGGGTATTTTAGAAGGCTCTACCCGGCGGGTTAGGAGTTGGTATAGGATAAACCCGCACCCGACCCTACCCATTGCCATCCCTAGTCCACGGAGAGCACAGCTCTCGAGAGAGGTTTCATTATAATCGCAGAACAGAAATCTGCCAAATTCAATTGTCTTGCGACTGGGCATAGAAAGCCCTACTAATACCCATCGACTGTAACCTAGGGTAATTAGAAAGAAGACCACATTATTACACTTAACTACCCATAGTAAACAAAGGCTACTAATGAGTACAATAAGCACACGTCAACACTCCCCCTCAAGCTGGAGCATGAAGGTCACAAATGCCAAGCTTGGATAGTAGAGTGTGGAACTGGTCAGCCCCCAACGCTTTAGTGAAAATATCCGCCAACTGAGAGGAAGTGCCAATCTTCAGTGGAGAAATCGCACCGGCAACAACACGTTCACGGACGAAATGGCAGTCCATCTCCACATGCTTGGTACGTTCATGGAAGACAAGGTTAGCAGCTATATGAAGTGCCGCTTGATTGTCGCAGTACAGGGGTGTAGGAGCTGACTGAGGTGCGCCTAACTCTGTGAGAAGAAAACGTAACCAGATAACCTCACTCACCGTACTAGCCATAGCCCGATATTCTGCTTCAGCTGAGGATCGAGCAACAACGCGTTGTTTCTTGGTACGCCAAGATACGGGAGCCGAGCCCAGCTGAATGTAGTAACCCGTAGTGGAATGGCGCGTGGTCTGACACCCAACCCAATCTGCATCACAGTAAGCAGTAAGGACTAAAGGATCATTACTTGGGAAAAACAATCCCTGACCTGGTGATGCCTTGAGGTATCGAAGGACCCGATGTGCAGCGTCCACATGAGCAGGGCGATGAGCATGAACAAACTGACTAAGCACATTCACAGCATAAGCAATGTCAGGCCTAGTGACAGTGAGGTATAGAAGACGACCGACCAACCGTCGGTAAGCCGAGATGTCCACCACCTCATCACTGGTATCGCCAGTATCATCAGAGCGAGTGAGGGTGTGGTTTTGCTCCATAGGAAATCGACTGGGGCGAGCTCCAGTAACACCAGCATCAGCAAGGATATCAAGGGTATACTTGCGTTGGTTAAGAACAACTCCCGCCGGGGAGCGGGCGACCTCAATACCCAAAAAGTATTTAAGTGGACCGAGATCCTTGATGCTGAAGCGATCATCAAGGAAAGCTTTTACCTGCTTTATGAACTGAGGATCATTACCAGTGAGAACAACGTCGTCAACGTAGATGAGGGCCGCGACGAACACAGACCCACGTTGGTGAAGGAGAAGTGACGGGTCGGCGCGAGATGGAACAAAACCGAGCTCAGCGAGAGCCTGCGTGAACTTGTTATACCAATTTCGCGAAGCCTGTCGAAGACCGTAAAGAGACTTCCTCAACTGGCAAACCCTATTATCTCCAGGTGCAGCAAAACCCAAGGGTACCTTCATATAAACCTCTTCCTCAAGCTCACCGTGAAGGAAAGCATTATTGACATCCATAGGAAATCGACTGGGGCGAGCTCCAGTAACACCAGCATCAGCAAGGATATCAAGGGTATACTAGCGTTGGTTAAGAACAACTCCCTCCAGGGAGCGGGCGACCTCAATACCCAAAAAGTATTTAAGTGGACCGAGATCCTTGATGCTGAAGCGATCATCAAGGAAAGCTTTTACCTGCTTTATGAACTGAGGATCATTACCAGTGAGAACAACATCGTCAACGTAGATGAGGGCCGCGACGAACACAGACCCACGTTGGTGAAGGAGAAGTGACGGGTCGGCGCGAGATGGAACAAAACCGAGCTCAGCGAGAGCCTGCGTGAACTTGTTATACCAATTTCGCGAAGCCTGTCGAAGACCGTAAAGAGACTTCCTCAACCGGCAAACCCTATTATCTCCAGGGGCAGCAAAACCCAAGGGTACCTTCATATAAACCTCTTCCTCAAGCTCACCGTGAAGGAAAGCATTATTGACATCCAACTGGTGGAGAGGCCAACCTCGACTAACAGCCACTGCAATAAGCACACGGACCGTCACAAGCTTAGCTACTGGTGCAAACGTATCATGAAAATCCACTCCTTCAAGCTGAGTGAACCCTTTTGCAATGAGCCGTGCTTTATAACGCTCGACGGAGCCATCAGGGTGATATTTGATCTTATACACCCACTTCGAGTCAATGGCATGCTTACCGGGAGGTAAAAGCTCCAGAGTCCACGTCCCATTTGCTTCAAGTGCCATGATCTCCTTGATCATAGCTTCGCGCCAGCAAGCGTGCTGAACAGCATCTCGAAAGTGTTTTGGTTCAAGCAACTGAGTGATGGCGGCTATAAAGGCACGATGATCAGAGGATAGGCGATGGTAACTTACGTGGTTGGAAATAGGATGTGAGACGGTGTGAGACGAGGAGCCGGGTAGTTGGACATCATAAATGGCCAACTTGGAGGGCGGTCGTCGTTCCCGGTCACTTTTCCTAACTGCTGGCGGGGCGGCAGCCTCGTGAGTGGAGGAAGTAATATCATCATTACCATTATTTTCCTGCGCAGGAGGGGAGGAGGTAGGCCCAGGGGAAGTAATATTAATATCAACATCCTCATGATCACTAGCACTACCCGTATCGTGCGCAGAAGGAGAAGTAGGCTCAACTTGCTCCCCATGCACGTGATGTTCATGCAAAGAAGGGGTGTTAATATTCCCAATATCAAAGAAATTAGCAACATCCTCAGCAAGTGTAACCCGTTCCAGAACAAGCGGATCAAGCTCCCCCTCGAGTGTAGCATCAGGTGAATGGTTCGCCCGGGAATTGACCAAAAACGGGAACTCATCTTCGACGAAATGTACGTCGCGTGAAGTATAAACCCGTCGAGTTGTCAAGTCGTAAATCCTGTAGCCCTTTTGCGAGTGAGGATACCCAACGAAAAATCCACGACGGCCGCGCTCAGCGAACTTATCCAAACCAGGTTGAGTGTTCTTCGCATAAGCCAGGCAACCAAAAGTACGAAGATGGCAATACGTAGGAGGTTTGCCCAGCAAGATCTCGAACGGAGTCCGATTAGAAAGAACGGATGACGGGAGACGATTAATTAAATAAGTAGCAGTCAGGACGCACTCTCCCCAAAAACAGACTGGAAGCCCGGATTGGAAACGAAGAGCACGAGCTGTATCCAACAGGTGACGATGCTTTCTCTCAACGACACCGTTCTGCTGTGGAGTATTAACACAGGAGGTCTGTAAAACCATACCATTTTCAGCATAATATTCCAGAAGTGAATTAGTCTGAAACTCCAGGCCATTATCTGCCTGTATTCGACGAACTGGACTCTGAAATTGAGTAATGGCCATTTGACAAAACAACCGAATATACTGCTCCGCATCGGACTTATACCGGAGTAGGTAAACCCAAGTAGCCCTGCTGTAATTATCAACCACTGTTAAGAAGAAACGAGATCCATCAAGTGCAGGGGTTTTATAACCACCCCAAATATCCATATGTATCAAATCAAAACAGCCACTGGTCGAAATAGAACTGGAAGGGAAAACTGAGCGAGTCTGTTTGGCTCTCCAACAAGAGTCACAATGATTTTTCTCTAAACTAATCTCTTTCGAACCCAGTTCATTTTTCAAATAAGAAAATTTATTCAAGGATGGATGTCCCAACCGCCGATGCCAAAGAATCGCATTATCGGTGCCAGCTGCAGAGAAAACTTGTGCCCCCTTACTGCGCTTGCTTCCAGGCAACTGCTCCAAGTAGTACAAACCATCACGAAGGCGGCCCAGTCCAATCACAGTCTTGGAACGTGAGTCCTGAATCACACAAAAATTAGCCAGGAAGATGAAACTCACATCATGATCCTGCGTAAGTCGACTCACAGAGAGAAGATTACACTTGAATTCAGGAACATGTAGAACCCTGTCCAAACTAATGTGCTCATTCAAAGTCACTGAACCTACGCCTTCAACTGGAATACAACGACCATTCGGAATACAGACCGGTGAATAATTGCCAGTTCGATCAATCTTATCCAACCAATCAGCATCTCTAACTATGTGCTCGTTACAACCCGAGTCAATAAGCCATTCATAGAGATCAGTAGAATTACCGGCCATGTGAGCTGTTGGGTCTGGTGTGCCAGGGACAAGAGCACTGAGGAACTGTTTGAGTTGAGCAACTTG